GTTCGTCAAAAGAACTCAAGTTGGTTCCCAGCACTCACGCCGTGACAGTGACTTCATCTGCAACTGTGATAAGTCCAGCTCCAGCTTTCTCTTCTGAGCTTCCTCGATCTTTTAAACAACGGAGTAACGTTCATGAGGAAGGCTCTTGCCAGGTGACAAATGTGGAGGAGCTGTTGCATATATTTTTAATAGAAAAAGGTGTTTTGGTTTCACTTTCACTAGCTCATTAAAAACTCTCCGTAAAAGTATACAGTAATTATGAAGTCATTTTTATATTCCCCCTAAAGGCATTTAACTCCATATCGTCTACGGATTGTGAAGCTCTGCTGTTCGTAATTGACTGTGAACATGAGTTAAGTAAAAATAAGAGAGTCTGCAAAGTTTCTTTTATGTGATTAAAGTTCAGTATGGCCAAAAGTTGCTGACTCTGGCTCAATGTACCTAGCTTGAAGCAAAACATCACATGACAAAATTGAGTCTTCAAAGAAACAAAAAAACTTCTACTTTATATCCCCCTTTCTGTTCTAAAAAATTATTTTTACCTTTAACATTAATGATCTACACACAATAAGAATAATTATGGGAACCATAAAACTAAACCATCAGACAATAGTCAAAGAAAATAACATTAAATTTCCATCAATATACAATAATTAAACAAAATAGCTTTTAAATTTCTAAAGTTACACAAAATAACCTTAAATTTCTTTAAACATAAAATACAAAATAACTTAAATTTCTATTAATATACAAGAATCCACACCAAGATAAAATAACACATCAAACAACCAAAACATGCTCCCCACCTTTTGGGAATGGGAAAGTTGTGTAGTCAAAGATCTCTTTTCAATGGTCTATGAAAATCTGGGATATTGGCCAAGTCCTGTATCTTTTTCTGTCCATTATCTGTGTTGTCTGTCCAGTCTCTGTGTTGTCTTTCCTTTGGACTAGCCTTTTTGAATATTATTTGCATGGAAATTTTGGAAAAATCAGTAATTGAGGCAGCTTGTGAGAGTGAATCATCTGGGCTATTTGCTTTGTGAAGATATTCATATATCAGGTGATTAGATATTTTCCCTGGTCAGATCTAATCTTTTGTGGGTAACCGTATGTTGTCATTCCCTGTAGATACATAAGCATAACCATGTTCCCATCTCAAAACCATTGCAGGTTTCCAGTCTAATGTTACCACATCCTTATAGTATATAGGTTGATATATATAACCATAGTTCTTCAGGTTTTTTATTTTTTAAAACTCAGTGTCTCTCAGCTGCTGTTGTTCCTTTTCCACCAATATTAAGAATATTTAAAGTTAGCAAAACATTATTTAGTCTGTCCCTGGGGTTCTTTACTCCTCCTTTTTGTTTAATAAACATCTCTTTTAAGGTACGATGGGCTCTTTCTACAATTGCTTGTCCTGTAGGATTGTGTGGCATACTGGTAATGTGCTGTATATTATAATATGCAAAGAATTGTTTCATCTTATTGGATACATATATGGGAGCATTATCACTCTTAATTTGTGTAGGTATCCCCATAATTGCCATTATTTCTAGTAAGTGTGTAATTACACAACCAGCCTTTTCAGAACTTAAAGCAGTTGCCCATTGAAACCAATGGTACAGTGTATATACCTTTGTTTTCCAAATTCTGCAAAATGAAAAACATCTATCTACCAGATTTCATTTTGTTTGGTTCCCCAGAGTTACTACCAGCAGGTAATGGAACTTGGTTGTATAGAGGATGTTGGACATTTTTTTTTTCCTTTGGCTTGTTGCCAAGTGATAGATAATTGTTTCTTTAAATGTTTCCCATTAACATCATTTTCTCATGAAAATTTGAGGCTTCTAACACATTCCCTATTAGTAATTGGTTAATTTTCTCACTTGCTTGTGTCAGTGGACCTGGCAAGCCTGTGTGAGACTGAATATGAGTAATATATATAATGGATAGTTTCTATTCTGATGGCCTGTTGTAATTCCATTAAACAATAATGTTATTTCTGAGTTATTAGGAACAAATTCAACAGTCTCTATATGCAAAACAACTTTCTGCACATAAAGTATCAGTACTTATATTAAGAGATTCAGGAAAATCTAATAATAAGGAGGATTGCATACAGTTCTGAGTTTTCAAATGAGTTATATGAACTTTTGGTCACCTTGCTTATTTTGTCTGTATTATAATCTGCCATCCCCTTCTTGTTTGTATCAGTATAGAATGTTGGTGCCTCTGGAATTGTTGTTTGCTTTACAATTTGTGTAAGAATCCAATTAGTTCTTTTTATAAACTGAATATATTTGCTTTTAGGATGTTTTTATTATTAATTTCTCCCAAGTAGTTACTACTAGCTCTTTGCCAATCTTCATTGATTACCCGCAATGACATAATCTCAGTACTAGTAATGAGGTACCACAATTTTGGCTGGGTCTGTTCCACACAGTTGATGTACTTTTATTCTAACTTTTATAATTAATACAGAAACATTTTCTGTACATGTCTTCAATTTTTTTTACTTTGTTTACATGGCAAGAAAATCCATTCCATAATACTATCTTCCTTTGCATAATGGGTCCAGTAGGGGAATGATTTTAAGGCAAAATGACCAAAATACAATCAAGTTTAGGATCAATTTGATCCATCTGGCAATATTTGTTCTACAACAGTTAACTATTTTTCTGATTCAGCTGTTAGACATCTTAGACTGTTTCATTTTTTATCTCCCTGTAATGTTTGAAACATATTACTTATCTCATGTAAGTACTCAATCCAGTTGTAGGCCTCAGCCAGTTAATATCTCCCAGTAATCTTTAAAAATCATTAAGAGTTTGCAATTGGTCCCTATAGATCTGTACCTTCTGTGGTTGAGTATTTTGTTGACTGATTTTATAAATCAAATAGCTAAGTGAATCTCCTTTTTGTATTTCTTCTGGAGCAATCTGTAACCCCTAACTTGGTAGACATTTTTGGGTTTCCTTAAACATTTTCTCTAAAGTCTGTCAGAATTGGCTAACAAAAAAATCATCCATGGTAATGATATATGATAGACTGAGGAAATTGCCTACGAATTATTTCTAATGGTTGTCACACAAAATATTGACAAAAAAGTTGGACTATTTAACATTTCCTGTGGCAACACCCTCCAGTGTTATCTCCTTATTAGACTACTATCGTTCAGAGTAAGTGCTAAGAAAGCGAACTTTTCCCTGTCCTGCTCATACAAGGGTATTTTGAAAAAGCAATCTTCAAGCAATCTTCAATTATTATTATAGGCCATGATCTAGGTAACAAAGAAGATAAAGGAAGTCCAGGTTGTAAAGGACCCATTGGTTGAATTACTCTATTGACTGCTCTTAAGTCTTGTCATCATCCTCCATTTTCCCGATTTCTTTTTGACAACAAACACAGGGGAATTTCATGGGCTGGTAGACTCTTTTATATGTTTAGCCTCCAGCTGCTCCTGTACCAGTTGTTCAAGTGCCTGTAATTTTTCTTTTGATATGAGCCACTGCTCTTGACACACAGGTCTGATCAGTATCCATTTCAGGGGCAAGGCTGTTGGTATCTTAGCAGTGGCCCCTATTATAAATTTGGAAACTCAATCCCTGTGCTATCCTGTGTTTGGACAATAGGCACAATAGCTGTGTTTGTTCTCAATCACTCATATCAATACCTTCTCCAGGAGCATCTACCATATCATCCCTAATTTCCTCACTTTCTGTTCCTCGGATTGCAGGAATATTAATTTGAGTACCCCACTGTTGTAAAAGATCCCTTGTCCATAAATTTATCAATATGTCAACCACGTAGGGTCTCATCTTCCCTGTTTGCCCTTCTGGTCCCACACATACAATCTATTGGTCACTTTATCTTATTTGTGATAATTTACCAATTCCTATAAACTGTGTATAAACCTTCTGAAGTGGCCAATCTGGATTCCAAGACTTTTGGGAAAATATACTTACATCATCTCATGTGTCCACCAAAGCTTTTATTTCAACACCACTCATTTGTACCATTAATTTGGGTCTCATTAACCACTGTTTGCCAGAACACACATTTGCCTGTACTCCCAAAAGCCCCTGTTTTTTTTCTACTGGTGTGGCCTTGCCCTTGATGTAAGGAAACAGTAACAGCTGAGCATTTCTATCCCCTGCATTAATTTGCATCTCCTTTTTCACATACAGCATGATTTTAATTTCTTCCTTGCAATCCCCATCTATGATACCGGGATGCAAAATAAATCCTTGAGAAGTTAATCCACTTCTTCCCAGGATTATTACTACCATCCCTGAAGGTAAAGGACCATAAACCCCATTGGTTATCTTACAGTATTCAGCATTTTGGTGAGAGGCATATCTGTGGACAAATCCAAAACTCCACTACCTTCAGTGGCACGATAGTTCAGGTTGCCATTCATTTCTCTTCCATCTTGGAGTCTTTGCTTGTGGGCATGGCTGACTAGTAAGCACAAATTATGTTACTGTTGCTCCTGTTTTATATGGAATGGCATGGGTTCGCAGATCCCTTTCATTCTGGTACTGTGATATCACTTAACGTGCATATGTTTCTGTTTGTTGTGCTTTACTTGCGTACACCCATTCTTTTCCGCTTACTTTATTTCACCACAACATTCATCAAACAATAGAAATTTATCTGTTCAGCAAGACTCTCCCTCCCACCCCGAAACCTAGAATTTATTTTCAGGAAGTGTTAGAAAGATAAGATGAACTTAATATCTTGAATGTTTGATTATTGAAAAAAATGCCTAAAAGTTTATTTTATTGCTTTCAAAAATGGGGCAATATATTTGGACATAGTTTAAATGCTTGTTAATTTATAGTATTGAATTACATACTGTGAGTTAGATATGTTCCATTACTGAGCACTAAATATAACTACCATGTAAATATTTTCATTTTCATATGTATGTTATATGAGTGTCATGCATCATGAATTAGATGTTCACACTGTTAGTTATTGCTCTTGTTACTTTTCAGCTGACTTTCACAGCAGTGGGCACATTGTTGTGAATGGGTGGAAGATTCACAACACAGCAAAAAATAAATGGTTTGTTTGCATGGCCAAAAGCCCCGAAGAAAAGCACGAATGGTTTGAAGCTATTTTGAAAGAAAGAGAACGCCGGAAAGGTGGGTGCAAAAAGTACGAGTTACTGTGCTTTGTAAAAATTCTTAGCATGAGAGAAGATAATGGAAAAAAATTATGAGGGCATGTGTTGATTCATGATGTTCACTTTGATTTACTATGCAATGTAATTGCCACCTTAAAATGGAAGTAAAACCTTGCATATAGTTGGGAACATTAAGATAGTGAGTATGTCTGGCGATGCCTTTTCTTTCTGTTGCTTTCGAATTAGTTCAGATTTGAAGGCTGATTTCACATTGTTTTTGTACATTACTCTTCCCACCTCTGAAACAGGGTCGCAGCCTTGCTTTGAGAGACAGATTATCAGTCATACCGTGCATTGCCTGGGACCGCCAAGGACTGTTCTATGTTTTTGTAGCATATTGAAAATTCCTAGACCACAGAGGTTAACTTTCTAATTCAGATTAAGGCACTTTGTACATACACACACTGACTTTAATATTATCTGAATGTCATTGAATACAATATAATGCCACCAATAAGTAGCTTGTCTCTATGTGAAATCCTGTTTAAAACTTGCTCCATGGTTTCAGAAAGATTTTCAAACGTATCTGGTCTGGCAGTAGCTCATCATGTACAGTTTGTCTCTGAAGTAGTTAATTGTGTACATCTGTCTCTGAAGCCTAAAATTTGTTTCCAAGAAGCATTAGAAAGATAAAATGAACTTAGTATCATGAAAGGTTTATTATTGGAAAATGCATAAAATATTCTTACAACATATTTGGTAATATGATTACATGATTATTAATTTGTAGTATTTTGTTTATATGCTGTATTAATACTGTGAGTTCTATGGATTTCTATAATTCAACTCAGAAGAAGAAAAATATTTTTTAATCAACCTTGGATTCCTAGGAAGCACGACACTATTGATTGCTTTCCCAGAGATTTCAAAATCAAACACCTCATTGGCAACAGAGTTTTAGAATACCTCCCAGCCCCTTTTTTTTCCCAAGGGCTGGGAATTTCAACCTCTGCCACATTTCCTCCTATTCCCATCCACTGATTGTGAATGTTCCCAGGATTTCAGCTTTGACTCGGGCTTCCTCTAGTATTCTTTGCTTGGCTTATCCTTTCTCATTAGAGTGACTTCTGTTCCAATGTTTGTGTACTTCTCTGTGCCCAGCATTCTCTTCCATCTTGGGCTTCTTACTCACATGCTGTGCTGACCCCTGGTCTTTACCTGACATTGACAGAACTTCTTCCTTTTTTTTTTTTTTTTTAAAAAAAAAAACACATCATTTATTTTTTTATTGATTACAATTTATTCACTTTGTATCCCAGTTCTAGCCCCCTCCCTCATTCCCTCCCAATCTCCCCCCCTTCCCTCTTCTCCTCTCATGCCCCTCCCCTAGTCCACTGATAGGGGAGGTCCTCCTCCCCTCTGACCCTAGCCTATCAGGACTCATCAGGAATGGCTGCATTGTCTTTCTCTGTGGCCTGGTAAAGCTGCTTCCTCCTCAGGGGGAGGTGATCAAAGAGCCAGCCACTGAGTTCATATCAGAGACAGTCCCTGTTCCCCTTACTAGGGAACCCACTTGGACACTGAATTGCCATGGGGTACATCTGTGCAGGGGTTCTAGGTTATCTTCATGCATGGTCCTTGGTTGGAGTATCAGTCTCAGAAAATACTCCTGGGCCCAGATATTTTGGTTCTGTTGCTTATGCTCCACACTTACAGAGGTTCTTTCTACTCTGCAGTTTGCTTGAAAAGCAACCCCACTTCCTTTACACTTTTGAAACCTGGAAGGCATCCCTAGTTTCCCTCTTCCTTCATAGGTAACCAGACACTTCTGTTTTCCAGCTATACCACCTCCTGGTTATTTCTCAACAACTTCTTCATTTTGTGCTCCTTCTTGTTTTCAGGGGCTCAGGCTTGCTTGAATTTTCTCAGCTTTCTTCTAAGTGTTTTTCTCTTTTGAAACTTTCCCTCCTTGCTTTGTTGCATATACTCCATCCTCTAAGCTACATGTAAAGTGGTGCAACTTCCTTTCCATAGTCCCTGCCTTTCTCACTGGCTCATTCAAATATGTCCACTTCTCCCCAGTACCCAAGGAATGAAGTGATTTAACCCCTCAAGGACACTACGAAACCTACCAGAGCACAGGCATTCTCATCTAAACCCCAGGACTCTGTGTCTTGGATTGTTCAGCTTCAGTAGCTCTTGTAAAAAAATTCTTTCTTATAAGTGAGGTTTCACGATTCTACATTTAAACGTGGTCTTCTTGTGAACAGTTTCATGGTGTTTCTCACAAAGAGGCGAGATATGCTGAATGAGCCATCAGTGCAATATGGTTTCCCTTCCACTCTGAACCTCATGCCCAGTTATGCTAATCTCAAGTGCCTCTCCCCCACCGGCAGAATCATGTGCCCTGAGGGCACAGCTGCACAGAAGTACCTTGTGCCATGGGGATATGGACTTAGTCTCAGTAGGATGCTATGAATTACTTAAAGACTGAGCTCAAACCTACAGCCACTGTGATGGTAGATACGGCAATGAGGGCTTGCTAAATAAGGGTGTGAGAGAACAGATAAGTTAACTTGATGCTTATTATGTTATTTTTGATAGGTTTGAAATTAGGAATGGAACAAGACACCTGGGTAATGATCTCTGAGCAGGGTGAGAAACTGTATAAAATGATGTGCAAACAGGGAAATCTGATCAAAGACAGAAAAAGGAAACTGACTACATTCCCTAAATGCTTCCTGGGAAGGTAAGCATGGGCTCTTAGGAGCATCATCTATATCGTATGATTTGTGTTTAAAAGTTATTATCCTAAGCCTTTTTGAATTCTTACTCCTAATCCATGTTTTCTGAACAATAAGGAGATGAGGTAATGGACAAAGATTCAGGGTAATGGCCAGCCCCTTGAACCAACCGTTTTTGAGCTCCACAATTACTGATATGCCGTGTTGTCGGGATGAATCGGAGCCTGTGGTGAGGCAAGGAGTTTCAGGCAGGCCATGTGCCTTCTCGGGACCGGACAAGGATGTGATGTTGAAGCGTGCAGCGCCTGAGACTCAGAGTTGGGCATAAATCCGTAAAGTGGAGGGATATTGGAGAGCTGAGAGAAAATACTCTAAAGTCTTGTTTAGTCAGAATTCATACAACCAGAGTCAAGACAAAAGGGTGCAGATTAAGAGTCTGGTTGTTTGTCATGTGAGGGGCCTAGAAGAGAGACCGTATGTCATTTAGGTACACGACATTCCCTGAATGAGATGGGGCGCTGCTTCACTGGGGTCTCCTTAGGCCAGGCTCTAGAATGGCTTCTTTCTGTATGTAGTTTTGAATTCAGTAATCCATACTTAAGCGTTTCATGTCTCTGGAGTTAATTAGAGAGGTAGGATCTATGGATCAGGGAACTTGACACATTCATGTAGTAAGAGAATGTTGATGCCACCACTGTTTAGAATAATGGCCTGGAACAGTTAAGTTTCTATTTCCCTTTGATCCATGAAGTTGATGGATCTGTGCCCACCAGGATATCTTTTAACCAGGATATGGTATTCGTATGGCCGCATCTGAACTGTAAGTCAGGAAACCTCAGACTGAAAGCCAGCATTTGCTCTCTTATCAAGAGGGAGTGGTCCTTACAGCAGGATCACACCATTCGTGAAGACGTTAGAAAAGTTCTCCATCTGTGCTCCATCCACACCCCTTAGGTAACAGCTGGTAAAAAGGATAACTACCTTGACATGGAAGACCCAACATGCACCACAAAGATGGCCTGTCTTGTGATAATTTGATGGCCTATGGTCATATACCCACTTCCAAGAGAGCACTGCAAGTTAAGGCATCTCAGCAGCTTTTACCGGCATGCCACATAGCCATAGAAGGTCTTTTCTTTATTGATAAAGCCACTTGAGAATTACTTTCCGGTCTCTCTCCCACATTAAAAAATATATATATACCACCTTATCACATCAGTGTTTAAATCAGCTCCTTTTCTCATCTCAATTTGACATTTAGTGAATTAAGCAAAATCAGAATGAAGACTTATGCTTTAGCTTCATATTATCTAGTTCAACCTTCTGGCCTTTGTCAGAGCCATTGTGTGCCAGGCCCTGTGCTGATATACCTCACCCTAAACAATCCTACAGCAGCACCATAATATTAATAGTTCCAATGTGCTCCCCCGATGCCAAAGAAACAGGGCTTGACTTTATAGTGTTATATTTCAGGCCCACGATTGTAATCATTACATGGTATCTTATGTTTTTTAAACCTTTTCTCCTTTATTTTCTTAAATTATTTATTTATATTTTTCTTACACGTTGGCATTCTTTTATTTGATTTTTTAATGAAAGAGTGGAAAGCCCTTTTCCATTTTCCTGCCTTAGCATGTATTTCTTAAGCTAAACAACCTACTTGGAGAGTTTTGTGTCTCGCGATTAGTTGATTGAGGGATTTGTTACCTGTGGGAACAATGGATAGGAATGTTTTTGGTAATGGCCATGGCTTCAGTTCTTTGCCCTGTGTGCAAATAATAAAAATGGTTCTGAATCACATTCATCGGTTTATGTAAATGGTCAAGTGTTGATGTTTTAAAACATAAGCATGGCAACATGTTAATTGCAAAAATGTCTGTATTTATGGAGTTTGTATCTCAGTGATACCCATGACTATCTGCTTTTGCGGGGAGTGTCATCTTTTAAGTAAATCTATACTCAAATACTCTCTTTGGGAAAGAGGAGCCTCCCTAAGTGCAATTATTTAGTGGGTGCAGTGTGTAGGAGAGGCTCAGCATGTTTGGATTCTTAAGACAGATTCGGACTTTGTGGTTGTGAGCCCAGTGCATGTGAAAAACTTCTGGGTGATGTCTTGAAAACGGTGCTTTGTGTACTTACGATTCCTTTCATACTATGGGGACCACACAGACACAGATCTTATCCTTTCAGTTGTCTTTCTCTTGCAGTGAGTTTGTGTCATGGCTGCTGGAAATTGGAGAGATTCATAGGCCTGAAGAAGGAGTTCACCTTGGACAAGCCTTGTTAGATAATGGGATCATCCACCATGGTGATTATTTCATTGATTTGTTTTTTCATTGTTTTGCATTCACGAATGGCCTGTGTTTGAGTCCCACATCTGTTTTAGTTACAAAAAATTTCCACTTTGTGGCATTGTTTTCTCTTTCAGTGCTTTCAATACCTAATGCGTAAAGAACAGTATATCATGGGTTTAAGGTTATACAGTTGTCATTCTTTAAAATAGGCAAGAACCAGAATACCAATAAGTAGCAGATTGTGAAAGGAGAGATGCCTAGCTCTGACTAGAGTTTGTAAGATTGCCCCATGGGGGCAGTTGCATTGGTGATGGGCATTGCAGGATGAACAGAACTCAAGACAGCAGAAGGGGCTTCATTTCTGAGGAGTTGAGGACACTCGGTTATAGTAGGAGGAATGTCTATGGTGGCCACTTGAGGAACGGCAGTAGACTCTCATGTGGCTGCAGTGAGGGCTCCATGGGCCCGTATCCTGAGAGGGGCTTGTGGTAGCAAAGGTAGGAAGACACCTCATATTAGCAGGATGGCCCACTGGCTGTGTGCTGAAGGTCAGGAGCTGATGCTTGAAGCCATGGCCAGAACTTGGTTTCTCTCAGATCATGACGACTGCAGTACTGAAGGTCCGCAGTGTAGAAGTTAAAGGCTGCAGCACCCAGACCTGCAGGAAGACTGAGCCCGACCTAGGGGTGACAGAAAAAGGATTCTTTGGAGCAACGTGCAGAAATGTGAAGAAATCTTGGGGGGGGGAGGAATAGAGTTGATTTTACCTAAATATATGTCTATTTGAAATTGTCAAAAATTTTTAAAAAGATCGACAAATCAAATGAACGCAAATAAAAGAGCGGAAGCATGTCTGTGCTAGTCAGTTTATACTGGCTGTAGTATACTTGAATCCATAACACAGTCTCTTTTAAAAGCATTTTCATATCTAGTTATTTTGTGCATCTGCGTGCCTCAGCATGCATTTAGAGGATAGATGACACCTTTTGGGAGTCAGTTCCCTCCTTCCTCCTTTTGGGTTCCAGGGATTGAGCTCAGGTGGCCTTGCCAGCAGGTACCTTTCTCCTCTGAGCCATCTTCTTGGCTCAGTATAGAGTCTTAAAATAAAAAAATTTAAAAGCATTTTTATTAAAAATTATTTTCAAACTTGAAGTGCAAGAATTCTTCAAATATTTAAGTTGGAAGAATTAAAAATTGTTTTGAACAATTATATTTATAGCCTGGTTCATTCTTTTTACTGAGAAATATAGCCCAGAGAACTGTCTATCAGTATTCTTCAGTTATTTACTGTTTAAATTCAGGGGCCTAGGCTTATTACACTGTAGTCAGGATTTGATCAACTATAAAGTTAGATTTAAAATGTAACATTTTTTTAAAATAAATTTTTATTTTTATATTAATTACAGTTTATTTACTTTTTATCCCAGCTGTAGCCCCCTTCCTCGTTCCCTCCCAATTCCATGAAATCTAACATTTTTATGAAAGAAATCTTTTAAAAATATTTCTAATTCTCCAAAACTGGATGTGAGGAACCCTGTTGTGGAGTTCCTTATTAAGAGAGTAATTCCATTCGAATGAAGAGATAGGAACTGAACGCTCTAGCACTGAGTGCATGCTTCCAAGCTGAACGTTGTAAAGCAGAATTCTTGAAGCTGAATGAGCCATCTGTTTAAAAGAGAGAGAGAAAGAGAGAGAAAGAGACCGAGAGACTGAGACTATTGTTACTATTATTCACATAGCACATATTATTGGCCTTCCTGTAGACTCCTAGATTGGGACAGCATGTGCTCTCTCTGTGACCCAGTGTTAATATTTGTCTTCTCTAACTACTACACAAAGAAGAAATACTTGTGTGATATTTCAGAACTCTCATCTGGTACATCCCGCAGTGTGCGAAAGTTGGTTGTATAAGCTTCTGAGTGCTGTTAATCAAGTTAAAAACACCCTTAAACTTGTTGTTAAACACGATTATTATTAACATTGAAATTGCATAACAAGGTACATAATGAACAGGGTGATGGTGCATGAAACCCAGCACTTCCCAATTATTTCACATTTTCCCGTGCCTCTACAGGTTCTATGTGCTGTGGGAACACTGTGTGTTTGCTGTGCCAGCGGCTTAGACGTGTGTGTATGTGTGTGTGTGTGTGTGTGTGTGTGTGTGTGTGTGTGTACCATGTCTGTGCTTATTAATAAATCCTTGGATATATGTCTGGATTCACCACATGCTGTTCCTTTTGACAGCATATTCTCTCTTTTCAACATTCCCAGCATAAAGATTACAGTTTTCTTCCCAGTCATGAACATATAGCTCTTTGTAGCACATTATCTACCCGGAGAATGTTGCATTCTCTAAATGGAAAATATTTAAATATAACCTGTTCAACCTTTATTTTAAACACCCTTTTCCATAGTGTCGAGAAGGTTTCTCCATTTATTTCTTCTAGTGGTTTTGCAGACTCAGGCTGTACGTTTGATTTTAATTCATTTTGAGTTGATTTATTGTATGTGGTGTCAGATGTGGCTCCATTTTCATTCTTGGGCATGTGTATGTATGCTTTCCCCAGTACTACTTAATGAAGAAACGTTTTTCCTGTAGTGCATTCCTGGCAACCTTAGCTAAGGTCAATCAAGTAAATGTGTGGGGTTATCTTGGGCTTGTCTGCCATGTTCCAGTGCTCCTTTGTCTCTTTGTGTTACTACCACAAGGCTTTGATTACTACAGTTCTTGTAGTTTGTTTTGAAGTCAATATGCGTCCAGCTTTGTTCTTTGTGTAAAATTGTCTTGACTATTCTTTGTTGTTGATTTTCCACAGAGATCCTAGTGATTTTGGTTTTTTTTTTCATGTTCCTGTGAAACATGATACTAGAATTTTGATTGGTATTGCATTTGATCTGTGTATCACTTTGGGTATACTGGACATTTAAATAATATTAATCCTGTCAATTCATGAGCACAGACTATATTTCCATTAATTTATGTCTTCTTAAATTTTTTTCAACAATGTTTTATAGCCTTTAGTATATGGAGCATTTATTCCCCTTGGCCAAATTCATTCCCAAGTTATATATTTTTTTTAATGCCATTATCAGTGTGGTCTTAAAGTCTTTTTGGATAGTTCATTTTCAGCATCCAGAAATGCTATTGATGTGTTTCTATTGATTTTGTCCTTGTATGCTGATTTGTACCTTTACTAAATATGTTGTTCAGTTTTTAGAAAAGATTTTGTGCTCATAGAAGACGTAGAAACTTTTTTTTTTTTTTCTGTTTCCAAATTGTATATCTTTTATTTCTTTTCCTGTCGTTGGTCTGGTCAGGAATTGTAGTCCTGTGTGGAACAGAAGCATAACTAAACACAATGACTTTGCTTTTCGTGCAAAGCCCCAAACAAAGCCAAGACATATGCCCAGAGCTGCAGTGAGGAATGCTGGCACTAACCAAAGGAGAGTAGTGGGTGGGAGTAAGCCAACTGAGGTCTCTGTCTAAAAGACACGGAAAGGAGCTTTCATCGGGGAACCTGACGTATATTCATATAGGGAAGAGTCTTCATCACAGGTAGAGGTCATTGCACTCCCGAAAATGCTCATGTAATCAAGGTTATCCTTCTCTATACATCCCAGAGTTTTTAGGTGGCTGATGGGACTACACCATACTAAAGAGTTTAATAGTGTATTAAGACTGAATAGGTCGAAGATGCTGTCTTTTTTCCATTGAATGGATTTGGCTTCTTTGTCAAATATTGAGAATTCATAGGTGTGTGGGTTTATTTCTGGGTCTTCTATGCGATTCCATTGATCCTCCTTTCTGTTTCTATGCCAATACCATGCAGTTTTTATTACTGTTGCCCTGTAGTACAGCTTGAGATCGGGAATGGAGATACCTCCAGATGATCTGTTGTTGTACAGGATCGTTTTGGAGATTCTGGGTTTTTTGTTTCTCCATATGAAGCTGAGAATCTTTTTTTCAAAGGGAACCCTCCTCCATTGCTGGTGGGAATGTAAACTGGTTCAACCACTCTGGAAGTCAATCTGGCGCTTTCTCAGACAACTAGGAGTAGTGCTACCTCAAGACCCAGCTATACCACTCCTAGGTATATACCCAAAATTTGCTCAAGTACACAACAAGGACATTTGTTCAACCATGTTCATAGCAGCTTTATTTGTAATAGCCAGAACTTGGAAACAACCCAGATGTCCATCAACGGAGGAATGGATACAGAAACTGTGGTATTTTTACACAATGGAATACTACTCAGCAATCAAAAAGGAAGAAATCATGAAATTTGCAGGCAAGTGGTGGGATCTAGAAAAGATCATTCTGAGTGAAGTATCCCAGAAGGAGAAAGACAAACTTGGTATATACTCGCTTATATAGACCTACAAGACATGATAAACATAATGAAATCTACACACCTAAAGAAGATAATCAAGAAAGTGGACACAGGCGAAGGTGATTAATCCTCATTTAGAAAGACAAATGGGATGTGCATTGAACTTATGACAGGAGTCTATCACAAAAGGCATCTGAAAGACTCTACCTAGCAGTGTTTCAAAGCAGACACTAAGACTCATAACCAAACCCTCGGCAGAGTGCAGGGAATCATATGAAAGAAGGGAAGTTAGTATGATATGGAAAGGATAGGAGCTCCACAAGGTCCAAATATATCTGGGCACAGGGTCTTTTCTGAGACTGACACTCAACCAAGGACCATCTATGGATATAACCTAGAACTTCTGCTCGGATGTGGCCTGTGGTAGCTCAGTAACCAAGTAGTTTTCCAAAGTAAGGGGAACACGGACTATTTCTAATAGGATCTCAAGGGCAGGCTGTTTGACCCCCACCCCAGGGGAGGAGCAGTCTGTTAGGCCACAGAGGAGGACTTTGCAGCCAGCCCTGAAGATACCTGATAAAACAGGGTCAGATGAAAGGGGAGGAGGTCCTCCCCTATCAGGGGACTTGGAAAGGGGCAGGGAGGAGACCAGGGAGGGAGTGTGGGGTTGGGGAGGGAATGAGGGAGCGGGATACAGCTGGGACACAGAGTTAACAAAATGTAACTAAAAAGAAAAATAAAATAAAAAAAAAATTAAAAAAAAAAAAAAAAAAAAAAAAAAAAA